ACAGAAGCATTATATCGAGACAGTGATTGTTGGGATGCAATAAGATCGCTCTTATATCCATGGGTTGGTCACTCAAATTAGCATGAACATGGCAAATTAGATTTGCAAGAATTTTGAACTGTTTTCAAAACAAAACATTTTAAAAGAAATTCCAAAATAGACCATTTCATTTCTAAATCATTCTTTGCTCTTATATCCATGGTTGGTCACTCAAATTAGCATGAACATGGTTTGATTTGCAAGAATTTTGAACTGTTTTCAAAACAAAACATTTTAAAAGAATTCCAAAATAGACATTTTCATTTCTAAATCATTCTTTGCTGCTTGATTTGGTTTCAAGCCACAATTTTAGCGACACAAATAACATCTTTCAAACAAGTGAAAAAATAAACATATTTGTCGAAATTTAACTATAACACTTGGGCTAAAACCTACTAATCATAAATATATTTGGCTCGATATAAATTTAAACCAATAAATTAATCAAAGTTCAACCATAAAATTTAAGCTTGTAATTTCATTCTTTCGATAAAAAATTATCATCATAAATAAATCATTATTTCTCTAAAATGGCCGTAGAAGCCGACTAGCAAGTGACTTTTTTGAAGTATAAATTGATATAATAAATAATATACTTTTGATACAGCAAGTAATTTTTTTTAAAAACAAAATCGTTAAATGGTTTGATTTGATTTCAAATGATTTTTGACCATTGAGACCTCGAGCAAACCATTTCCAAACGATTTGATTTGATTTTAAAACAATCGAAACCCAAACTACGTGGAAACAAACCAACAATTTCATTTTTGTTTGACTGGTTGACAGGTTTTTTTATTCACATTTAACTCATAGGATGGTGATCCAATGTTATAAAAAGTTTAATTTATCTTGACTAAGCACCAATTAACTTTCACATAAGATGATTAAAATCTGATCCTAAAAACAGACATTTACAACTTTCTCCTTCCACCAGAAAGAGAAAAAAATTTATTTCATTTTGCACGTAGCTGTCTTTGGTCAAGTTTTGTTTCTTCTGGTGATAGCGTGTGAAATGTGTAACACTTTAGCAAATTGTTTGAACAAAGGTATTACTCCCCTTCATCCTATAAAGATAGACTTATTTTTATTTTCATGCAGATTAAAAATATATAACTAATATATTGAAAATATAATTTTTTTTCTTACATTTTTCTAATATACCACTACATAACATAATTTTTAAATATGAATAGTTCATATTCGCTGATAACAAAACATTACAAATTGGCTATTATTAAATTAAAAAATCAGCTACAGTAAAGAAAGTATCATATAATTTAGGACATACAAAAAAGAAAAACAAATATATCTTATGGGATAGAGAAAGTAAAACAAACTTGCAGCTTTAAATACAATGAAACATTATAAATAAAGATTAGAGTACTCATTCATCCACCCTCAGGGCACATATCCAAGTGATAAAAGGGGAGGATGGAGAAATCCAGCTTTACTTGAGGCTGCTGCGTCAAGGGTTCGAATCCTGAAATATGGATTTGGCTCTTGGGTAAGTGCAAGTGTACAAGCAGCCTTCTACCCTATACCTTTGGAGGCATAACCTGCGATTTACCTCCCTCACGATACTCCCAGACAGGGGTGGTGGGGGACCCTTAAGGTTAGGGTTTAACCTTTAGAGTACTCATTCTTCCGAGAAAAATCATATATACCCCTAGAAAATTTAAATCCCATGTATGCATTTAATTAATATTGATTTGACTAGTTGAAAATGTTGTACAAAATGGTAGATAAACATTACATCAAATCCATTCAATCCCCTAACCCAACCCCTTTCTAAACCAAACCCTAATCCATAAAGTCGTTTCATTTCTTCTTCCCAAAAACCCAGGAGGGCAATTTTCCCCAATTTTAAAGGCAACCAAACGAAAACTCTGAAGTATGCTGTTGTTTCTTAGATAATTAAATCTAAAATTTAAAGTTTCAAGATGTTGATCCTTGCGCTGTATAAGTTGAAATATTTCACTTATTCTTTCTTAGTGCCATGATTCGAGGTGGGATTATGAAGCTATCAGCGTAATATCATGTACTAGCAACTTGGTTTCTGGTCTTACGAGAGAACTCATGTTTCAAAGGAAGAATCCATCGTTAAATTCGAAACTTCATTTAATGAGAAACTATGTATTGGTTTTAGACTTGTAACTAGTCGTATTATTTTGAATTTATTTCATGATTAATATGTCAAACAACTTAGTTTTGTATTTGTGTGGGGTTAATAATCTAAATGGTCACTGAATTTTGCAAAAAGTTTATATCAGGTGATTGAACTTTAAAAATCACTTCATTCATCACTAAACTTGTCAAAAGATTTCCACGAAATTACTGAACTTTCCTAGGGGTCGTCATGATTCCTAGGAAAGTTTTTACAAAATTCGGTGATGAATGAGATAATTTTGAAAGTTCAGTGATTCAGTGGAAATCTTTTGTAAAATTCAGTGATAACTTGGGTAATTTTAAAGCTCAGTGACCCGGTGAAAATTTGTTGCAAAGTAGGGTTATTAACTCTATTTGTGTAATTTATTTTCATAGATGAAATTACATTTTTATTGCATAGTAGATTGCAATTTTTTAATGATGTTTTTACGTAATGTATATAAGGTCGAATTGTCAAGAAAAATAGTAGTTTAAAATACGTGGCCGTACTATCGAGAAGGTTAATGAAAAACTATCGAGAGCTACACTTAAGAAATGTCGAGATTGATATTTGAACTATCGATCTTGATAGTTCCTATGTATCGAGATCACATTTAACGAGTATGATTTGAAAACATTACTAATGAAACATTAAGTATGTTCATCAATGCTCAATTACAAAATTAATAAATTTTGACAAATAATTTACACAGTGCTATATTAAAAAAGGAATATTCAAACTTTTTTATATTTAGAAGATATATTTTCTGAAAAAGGTTTGCAAAACTAACCAAAATTAATGAATGAAAAATAATTTTCAAAGTAATGTGATATGAGTATTTAAAATTCAAAACTAAATGTTATAACATAAAAATATTCACCTTTGATATTTCAACGGTAGAGGAGATTAACACGTATATTTTTTATTATCATTACAAACAACTATTTGGGGGTGCATTATCATTTGTGACATTTTGCATTTCTTCGATCTTGTAATGCTGTAAATTTCCATAACCTTCCTCTGTAACAAATGAAGGATCTTGAAGACTTGTATCCATAGTCGTGTGGATAGTTGAAAGCTTGATTTTGAGAAGATGCAAAGAACAATTTCTTTATAAATAGATATGTACAAATTCAGATCTTCATCTTCACTTAGTTTGATCGAATGTATATTCATGTTCGAGACTTTGAACTTCATTTCGATTTCGGCGCATGGATCATGAATACGAAGTTTGTCCATCAATCGTAACACAACTAGGGCGATGTTATTTGGAATTATGATTGAAGTGTTTTTGTTCCCTTGTCACTTTCATTCGTCATTTACATACACAAACTGTCCTCCATGCAATATGATAAATCTCAACTTACTATTGATACCTAAAAATTTGAGATAGCAATGATAAACATTCGGCACAATTAATATATCACACTTTAATAGATTCAAGTGGTACCTACAAATAAATTATAAAAAACAATAGCAAATTGGTGGGATCGACTGTTTAAATATCTTTCCCAACATTTACCAAAGTGTCGAGTTTAACATTTTAACCGATTAGTTAGTTAGCATGAGATTATGATAATATAAATATATTCAATGATTTTTCTTACACAAGTCAAAGAATCATCATAGCATGATATTAATTAACATTAAATGCATGTACTAATGAGCAATAAACGCACCCAAAGGTATATGGAAATTTGGACATTTCATTAAAAAATGGACATTTTTTAGCCCGATTTGAAAAGGTGACAAATTTTGTTGCAGTTTAAAATGATGTAACATCTATGCAAAATTCCCTATATATAAACATAAATACTATCTTTTCATGATCCAAAATTACTGAACTGTAAAATTTCCATAATTTCTATCAACTATGCAATACTCTATTCTCTATTACTATTTCATTAATTTCATTTTTTTTTTTTTTTGGGCTTCACGATTTATTTGGGCTCTTAACAAGAAAATATTAATTAGGGCCGTTTAAACAATGCTAATTTACATACGTACAGAAGAAAAGGAAAATTTCATAAGTAGGAGATTAAATATGATATATTTCAAAAATAAAAAAATAAGTTATCAAACTTCAAAAATCAGATTTTTATTAAAATTTATTTATTATTAAATTAATTAATTAATTATTTTATTAATTAAATATATTTAAGTCACATATCTATACAATTTGGTCACAAGTTAACAATTTAATTAGTCACTTATTATTTTTTGGTCACAAATAAGAAATTTTATATCACAAATTATTATATGATCACAATTCAAAAAATTTGTAGGTCACAGTTTGATCATCGGTCACAAATAAAAAAATTAATTAGTCACGGATTAATTTTTAATCACAATTTATCAAATTTTTGGTTACAATTCATTTTTCGATCACAAATCAAAATATTTATGTCATCTATTATTTTTCGATCATGAATAAAAAAATTTGTAAGTCACAGATCACAAATATTATAGGTTACAACTTATTAGACAGCTACATTATTAATTTTTTAGATCACACATTATTCCTCGGTCACAATTTATTTTTTTCATTAGTCATATATTATTTATTGGACACAAATTAACCAATTTTAATGGTCACAGTTAACCAAATAATCTGTGACCAACACTTGTGACCATGATTGCCAAAACCACCGTCGACGACCATTGCCAGATCCACCGCGACAGGCAACACCTCCGCTTGCACCACCAACAAATACCATCACAAGCCTCCAACAACACCTAGTACCAAGGTAACCTATCAACACCGCAAACTCTTTTTTTTTTCTTTTTTATAAACTACCAAAATCTATTTCTTTATTCATGAAAAATAAAAAACAGGTATTCAGAAAATTTTTGCATAACACCACAGATTTCAAACATCAAGTGATTTAACAAAAGTTGAAGGTCACAGAAGTAGACATCTACAAATGAGTATTTAAATTCCAAAGTTTAATAACTGCAGCTGCAGAAAAAATCATGGCCAGTAAGAGTAGATAAAACATGAAATTTTCAGTATCTGTGCTCCATCTTCTCCTTTTCCTGATACCATTGCACATTGGAGTATGTTCCAACGAGAGGGCCAAGGAGAAGGGTAGCATTGATCCAATTTTCAAAGATCTTATGGTTGATCTTACCAGGCAGATCCTTCCAGAGGCCCGGCATCACCTTCTGCTGGAATGAAGACAAGGCGTAAACCACCACCTTCATTCTCACCGTCTGCTTACCCATCACTTTCTCTCTCTAGAATGCACATAGTAGTTTGGTTGAAATAGAGGAGCGATAATAGAGAGAGAGAGAGAGAGAGAGTCGAGCTTACAATGAATAGAGAGAGAGGGAATTGAGATTGATATAATTAGGGTTTGAAATTGTTTTACTTAATTAATTTTTAAGTATATTAATTAATTAAAAAAGTTTCTGATTTGTAAAATACTAAACATGGCATCTCATTTATGAAATGAGAATTTTTAATCTATTAGAATTCGTAATTTCCACTAAAAGAAATAGGGTGAACTGAAAAATATTGATTTTTATAACTATTTCAAAATTACAATATAAATCATCACATTAAGAAAAATAAGGCAATTATAGTCTATATAATTTTTTTTTATGTGAACGAATTCTTGAAATACAATTGTACGCCACACTAAAAAAAACTAAGCAGATAATGTTAGGCGTGTCACTATTGACAGTTTATTGATACCTTGAGAGAATCTTGAATAATATCTGAAACATAATGGACGTACAAACGTTGATGAGAAAAATTTATTTTCGAAATTGACAATTTTGAAGTAACATTTACAAATAGAAGAGCAATTGATGTTCTATGTTATTTGCAATGTTGTCAAAATCGGCCCAGCTGGTTAAATCGATTGTAAAAACAATTGTTCAAGAATTAGTTCGGTTATTCATAAACCGGTGATGATTTTACCTATTTTGTCAATTTTAATTTTCGAAAATTTAACTTTATGAATGGGCCTCGTGCACTATAATCAAATATACATAGAGAAATATTGGATGTTATACTTTTTTTTTTTTTATAAGTAATGCTATTTAACTCCATTGAGGTTATAATTTCAGCCTATGCAGTGTTTAGAGATATGTTAAATGAAAGTTGGAATTATACTTATTATTTAATGTCACATTAATGCCACAAAAATTGAAATTATAACCTCAACTAACTTCCACCTCCATCTTTTCATTTATTTATTTTCAAATTTAACTTAAATTGCAGTTGATTATTAACATAATAATGTTAGATATCATTTTCTATAGGCTTAAATTGTTTCGGTTTAACAAAGCAAACTATTATAATATATTGATTTTGAATTTTTGAAGTATCGAGACTAATTATAGGATAATGAATCTAATTAACAAAGTTAGATTTACTTTAGATTATATAATAACTGAACGGGACCAAACCAAAACGGATTTGTTTTGTCTCATGGGGTTTAACAATTAATTATTAATAGAATGTGATATGGATAAGGAAAGAGTTTCTCGATTCGTTTGGTCTATCACGTGAACTTGCTCTGATTACACACCAAACAAACAAATAATTAAAAAATAATAATAATAATTCTTGATTCTTTCTGCTGCTTGATATTGAGGTAATATACAGCTTTTAATGCACAATTCACAACTCACGCATGCATCGAGCGGGCCATAATTTTCCAAAAACAAGTCTCGCACTTTGTCCCGTACACGGCCCACGGGAATGATGACTGATAAACGGAAAAAATCATATATACCCAACAAAACTAAAATATTCCATAAAACACTATTGTATTTATTAAATTTGTAGTATACTGTAAAACTTTAAAAATATATCAATTTCACTACTTTAAAACTCTCTCTTATATTTCTATAACTGAAGTTTGAATTTACATAAATGACGCTATTCATTAATTGTGCCTCCTTTAGATATGCAGAATTCAAACAAATATGCTTTGTTTTACAAACAAGAATTTGGATTTCGGACACATTTCATCTGTGATTTTTGCAGGAAATTTAAAGTTAAACTATCACAGTTTAACAAGTATGTATTATACTAATTTTGTGATTTATTTTTCAAGATTTTTGATTCATTAATCTTTTTAGTAATTTCTTGCTTAGATTTTATGTGCTCATGAATAACATTATATTTCATTTTCATGGATCTCATCTTCAAACGATTTCTGTATCAAGTGTCAGACGATAATGCACAACGTATTGTTGATTTTCTAGCAATGAAATGCACGTGCAAATTGCAATAGGTTTCAACTTGATGGAGTTCGGCGTCCACACACGTTACCTACGACAGGGGAGAAAGGAGATCAACCTTATAAATATTGTTCCGGATACCATACTGAGGATTCGTATATTGATACTTATCTTGGATGCATTGTATACTTGAACACCATTTGTAGTGGGAGTCAATAATGATCAATCTCAAGTCGATAGTTTTTCACCTAAATCTAAGAGGCAAGAGGGAACACCTAGGAGACGAACAAGGTTGGAGTCATTAAACATGACAATGTATGAATGTGCGAGGAAACGAGACACAATAGGAGGACTTGTAAGCAACCTATTCCGTTAAGTTACATACGAATCCGTAAAAGAATGACAGATGACGGATGTCGTGACTACAAATGATTAGTTTTTATGTCATCATCCCAATCTATAGAACAATATATGAGTTGTAACTTATCATGGTGACTTTTACATTTTTATTAAAATGTTTTTATCCATTCAGAATCATGGTTTGTATGATTTGTGATCTATTTGATTTCCAATCAGATAATTATCACCAATCAGAAGTAGTGAAAGAAGACTACGGTTTATTAACAATAATAGGCGACAGATGTATTATTATGAATAAAATTTCTATGCATAATAACTTGATGAAGAAGATTATTGAATTATATGCCATACAAAACAACTTCCAGTTTAGTGTTTACAAGTTTGATTTGTATATTTTCATACTGAGCTTCGAAAATTTACCACGGGTTTTTGAAACTTCAAAAAAGGGGATAGAAATCAAGGATTTACGAAATCGCAGCATTGGAGATATCAATTTTTCGCACAATATATGAGGTAATGCATAGATTAGAACATGACGATAGAGATTAGTATGGTGTAACCTGTAATGGTGAAATTTGTAGGACTTTGGAGATTCTTGATTTTTGTTCAAAGAGAAAGTCGTGGATTTGGGGATTATTTTTGGCAAGATAACCGATGTAACTGGGGCATGTTTGGTGGAGAGATTGAGGCCATGAAATTAATTAATTGATGAGAGATACAATTTTGTACTTTTTATTTTTACTACACAAAATGTAGTATTTTTGGTTAAAAAATAATGTAGTAGTATAATTTGAATATTTTATAAAAACAATGTATGTGGTTCAATTACCACATTGACGACGAATGGCTTGGCCCAATTTCATAAATTAATTACCAGCCCAGGTGAACGATCATGGTGATTTAGCTCCTGTTTGGTTTAGGTTAAAAAACTGATTAAATTTTATGTTAAAAATCAGAAATTAATTTTAATCACAAATTTTATACAATTATTAATTTTTATCAATTTTTCAACCGCACATTATATCGCCTTTTATCAAAATTTACTAAAAATGTAATTTTTAGCCAAACTAAACATGAGCTTAATTCTTAGAAGAAAGAAAAGAGAGACAATAATAATCAACAGTAAAAAAGAAAATAAAAATGAGAAGATGGTAAAATTTGGTTGGTCTCATGAAATGTAAACTTAAAATGTGAATAAAAATTAAGAATAAAATGAATTCCGATTAATTTGATCAGCTTTTTAACAAAAATGTATCTCTATCAAACAGTCTCAAAATGAAATTTTGGATGAAACAGTGAAAATGAATCTATTTAATTTTCTATTTAGAAGGCATTGTTTCCTATCTTATTTGTAAAATTAGGATAATCGGTCGTGCTATATGCACATAATAGTTTACATAAATATGATATGGTGAGACATAATTGAATTAGAATATTTTCAATCAAATAAAGAAGAAGAAGCTCACACTCTCCTTTTGATATCTCGTACATATGTAAACAATTATATAACTCTTTATATACAGTTGACATCATTCTAGAATAATCTCGAGCAACTAGAAGAAACTCTCAAGACTAAAAGTTTTTACACACGCACACACATCTTTTAATATATTTGAGACGTATTTTTAAATGATGAATAAGTGAGTAATACACGTGAAATTTTTAAAATAAAACTAAACATTAATTTTTATTATATGTTTTATAAAATTCATCAGAAGTTGAATTTAAACAGAAGCGAATAAACATAAAGATAGGCTTGATGCTTGAACGCGTTTTATTTATTCCCTTCCAGCCATGCCATCCCGACAATGAAAGAGCATAATCATCATTCACATACATACGCCAAAGCCTCAATTCCACGCTAAAAAGTAAAAGAGATGCCATTTTCCCGTGCAAGCATCTGATTTTTTCACGTAATGTCCCACTCTTGTTTCATTTTTCACGCGAAATAAAAATATAATTTTTGTCAAAAATTTTCCTAATTTACCTTTATTTATATTTGTACAATTTTAAGATCAATCATGCTATAGTGTCAGAATCATTGACATATTGATTGACATAATCTCATGTGACACTTCATCATTAAATTGTTTAAAACACAATCATTTTTTCGTCAAATCATTTTTCGCCACATTAGATTATGTCGACCCTTAAGTAGTAATTTGTTTGACAAAGGAGCTTAATCCTATCAAGATTAAGTGAAAAAATTGGTTATAATTAGACAAAATAAATAAGGATATATTGATAAATGAACAAAGCAAAATATTTTCGATAAAGAAATGAGACTATATAATTGGGACAATAAAATAAACAAAGCCAGACTATAAATGAAACGAGGGAGGAAGAACAAACACGAGATACTAAACGAAACGAAAATGGGCAAAGACAGGAAAATCGGGGTTGCGATGGACTTCTCAAAGAGCAGCAAAATGGCATTGCAATGGGCTATTGACAATCTGGCGGATAAAGGCGACACCTTTTACATCATTCACATCAAATCCCATGAATCCACCAATAAATTATGTTCCAAATCTGGTTCACGTATGTTATTCTTTTCTATTAATTTAATTTCTGGGATATTTTCTGATCAAATGATTATATTCATCTGGGAATTTGTTTTTGTTTTGTGGGTTTCTTTATAGCTCTTATTCCCTTGGCGGAGTTTCGTGTGCCTGAAATGATGAAGAAGTATGATATCCAGACTGATATTGAAGTTCTGGATATGCTCGACACTGCTGCTAGACAAAAGGAGGTAACTTGTTAAAATCTTTTATTTTTTATTTTTTATTTTGAGCTTCACTTGAACATGAAGTTGTCTTGTTTCGAATTCAAAATCAAGATCCAAACGATTTGATTGGTTGATTTATTTATAGATAAGCATTGTGACCAAGCTTTACTGGGGAGACGCCAGAGAGCAGCTCTGTGACGCCATTGAAGATTTGAAGTTGGATTCTTTGGTGATGGGCAGCAGAGGCCTTGGCACCCTCCAAAGGTAATAATCAAATCAAGATAATGAGTTAAGGAAATTCTAATAACTCCCTTGATTGATTGTTCACACTAATTTCTGGTGTGATGTACTGTACAGGATAATCCTGGGGAGTGTTACCAACTATATCATCTCAAATGCAGCTTGCCCTGTTACCATAGTCAAGGATCCAGATTTTCACAAGCACTGAATAATATATTATTTCAAAAAGCCAGTCTCTTTAATAAGTAAATATAGATTTCTGTGTGTTAGGAAATCAGATGAGAAATAAATTGGAGGCTGTGACTTATGGATGAGATATTTATTAGATGAATTGTTTCTGGTTACGGTGTTGTAGTTATTTATTCAGAAATTTGTTTGTGAATATATTGTTTTTGGGTGATTTATGTTTTGTGCACCATGCTTTTAAAATATTTTTTTTGAATAAAATGGTGTCATGAGTAAAATGACATAAATAATTACTACCCTCATATACTTATTATTTCTCTGTTTCATTCTTGTGTATACCACAAAAAAAAAAAAAATAAATAAAAATAAAAATAAAAATAAAAAACCCTACCTGCAAAAACATCAATGAGGATTTCTTCAAAGAAATGGATTGCATGGCCATGGAGTTGGATGGAAATGTAGTAGGGAAAAACGAATATACGGCCATGCTTGATGTAGATTAAAATTAGATTTTCAGTAAATTTTGATAAATATTTATGAATGTGCGGCTAAAATATATGTGATAAAAATTAATTGTTAACTTTAACTATACATTTTATCATTCTACATCAAACACTAACGATGTCACATAATAAAATATTTTGTGCGTACGTTTTGTCTTTGATTTATGTCTAAATACTCTATTAGTGTGTATTAAAACAAGGAACAAATATTTTGTCAAATTTTTGTATTTATATTTATTTCAATTATTTAAAGATGTGAAAGACAATTTAATTTTTTTATGTCCTAACAAATTTTTTGGACTTAAATTGTCTTTAGGTGTACAAATCAATTAAAGGTTGATGAAAAAAGTTGGAAACATAAACACAAAAATGTGAAAAGGATAAGAACATTCATTACAAGTTGACAAAAATTATGTTGTGAATACAGTAATCATTTACATAATTTTATGAGCGTATTGAGATATAATCGAGTCAAATCCATTTCAAAATTGACACGGGAGAGGCCTAATTGTTGAAGGGAAAATTTTTAACTAAGATGTTAAGTATCACATATTTCAAGATTACGAACAAATGTTTCAAATTTCAAAAATTATACATTTTTTAATTTTTTTATGATTTAATTAATTAATTAAATATATTAAGGTTGCATATTTATACAATTTGATCACAAATTCACGATTTAACTAGTTACATATTATTTTTCGATTACAAATCAAAATTTTTATATGTCATAAATTATTTTACGATCACAATACAAAAATTTCATCTGTCACAATTTGTTCATCGGTCTCAAATCAAAAATTTATAAATTAAAATTTATTTATAGGTCATAAATAATAAATATTATAAGTCATGACTTATTATACAGTCACAAATTATTAAATTATTTATCACAAATTAACTAATTTTTAGATCACATATTATTCTTGGTTACAATTTATCTTTTCATTGATTATATATTATTTATTGATTACAATATTAACCAATTTAATGGTCACATGCAATCGAATAATTTGTGACTATTACCAATACTTGCGACCACATCTCGCCACTATCTGCAACAACACCAATACCATCGTCGTCACCAAAACCACCACCTCTTGGTAGTACACCACCACCTCAAACAAATCAACACATCACAGAAAAACACCACCACATTTCACGCTAGATTCACCATCACCCCGACAGATCATTGCTACCAACATCTCACCGTCACTACCACATCCACTGCCATGACCTCTACTGTCGATCACCCCGCCACCGCCAAAATATGGAAGCTGGCACCACCACCACTCCAACAACCAAACCAAAAAACAATGCTTCATCGCCATCAACCACTTGTACCACCACTCACCAAAAAAAAAAATCCCCAAACATGCATCCACCATCCCTACCGCACCATTACCACATTCTGTATCGAATAATCACCACCACCATAACTTTTTCACCTCTATCATACCACACCACAACACACAACATAGGAGAAAACAAAAATTTTTTGAAGTGCACCAACGTTGCTGTAGGAATGGCGATGCTGCTATTGATGCATACACATCGTTGTGCACTTTGTGCAGCGGCAATCAATGAAGCAGTAGGGGATTGTTGCTGCGCACGAAGCAACCACGATGGGTGTGCATCGTGGCTTCTTTGTGCGCAACAACACCCCGCTTCGCCGTTGTCGATCCCCTCCGCCCATCGCGACTATTTCATGCGCAATGGCACCATGCTTCGTCGTTACCGATCGCCTACAAAGATGTGAAATTATGGAGTAGAATAGATCGGTGTGAAATGAATGAGATGGTGTGAAATAAATTAGGGTTTGTTGGGGTGGGTAGATTGATGTGGGTAGGTTAATTAATTTAATAATAAAATTATTAATATGATATGATTTTTGCATAAATATTTTTTAAAACTTGATTTTTAAAATTGGAAGTTTAAAACATGGTTGGGTGTAATTTTCACATTGTTGAAAGTGGAAATCACACAAAATTTTAGAGTTAAAATCATGTATTCTAAAATCAGGGAGAATGTTTAAACTTTCACAAATCAGATATATTATAATTAAATTTATTATAATTAGATATATTATATGTAATTATTATATGCTTAATATATATATTAGTAACCGAGCATCCCATGATTTAAGAGTTTTAAATTTAGAAAACACCACAGATTCCTCATCTTGAAACTCCTCCCACAACCCACGTATAATCTTCACACAACACGACTGCAATGAGTTTTCCATTGTCGCCTTACGTCTCCGGCGAAATCGCTACCACATTCAACATACACATAATCGTCCCACCATATAACCATCAATCTATAAGTATTTTCGTCCTATGAAGGCTATAAACTAGAAGATTAATGACTCTTTCGAAGAGTGAAAATCAAGGCAATAATGCAGTCAAGGCCTTAGATAGAATGGGTAAAAGAAAGGTAGATAAAGTACATAATGTTTTCCCATCTAAAAGGCACAAACGGACTGGACTGGGTCAGTCCCAAAATCAACCACGAAGAAGGTATTTTCCAAAAATCAATTAGGTAATTCAATTATATCTTATGTATGAACCCGAAATTGATGGTTACTGAGTATTGAAAACGTGTTCTATATTTGGGAAGTATGCTCTAATCAATTTGTGACATATGAGTTGAGTGATTCAATTTGTGACCTGTGAGTTAAGTGCATTTTGATATTCATTTTTCTGTAATCAAATTACTTTTTATTATTAATTTTAGTATTTCAAATCCCTATTACCATTTGGAATAGTTTAGCAAGTTTGTATGACTTTGAATTTCATCAGAATTATAACATATAAAATGTGTCGTTTCCTATTAGGTCAAGGCCAGAGACCAAGTATTCTAACCAAAAGGATAGACATTACTAATATTAGTTATTTACCTCTTTTACAAATTCTAGTAACTCTTAAATTGTCCAACTGTTAACTAATTGGTTACATTTTATTCATTCGTCATAATACTCCAATTACTCTCATATGTACGAACCTAAAATTGCTGGTTACTAAGTATTGATGACCTGTTTTATATTTGTGAAGTATGCTCTATTCAATTTGTGACCTATGCTTTGAGTGCATTTTGGTATTCGATTGTGTGACTCATAAGATGGGATTCTGGCGTTGTTTAATTTATGAATTAGTAATCATCTAAGTAACTACGTTTGTGAACTGCAAATCCATGTGTGATCAACATTTGTGTTTGGAGGTTGTGACCTAAGAAGTAGCAATGAAATAAATAGCCCTACTTGTGGTATGCCAATCAATATGTGAACCAACTTCTTTCCTTATTATGTTACAAATATGCATCTTTGTCTGTCGTGACCTAGAAATTTTTGTGATTTTCTACATTAGTTTGTACTCAATTATGCCTTTGTGACTTCTCTATACATCTGTGACAATTTCTTATTGTTTTGTGACAATATATAGGTTTTCAAGTTCATTATACCAGAGAATAGTTGGTTTCTTTGTAAAATCCCACAAAGTGTGTTTTGATAAGAATTAAAACAAGTCTAACAAAGTTGAAGGTGATGCTTGATTTCTCCATTCGCAACAGAAAAATGGTGACCTCTACTTTATAGTTACACGGACTAATATTGGATTCCATACCTAATGAACTGCATTTTTTCAGACATGATCATAACATATATGTGATCAAATATGCTGAGTACATGCTACATAATGATATAGGCTATATGTCGATGAAATTTGATGCGGACAGAGCTCAGCTGTATATAACGTCGTTGTTGTTTAAACATTAAAAAATTAGAAAGGCCACAAAGAATGTGCAGTAAACTGGAGGAAAAGGCATCGTCATAGAGTGATAGGAAAAATGCAATCTGAAAAAAACATGAAATTGTAATAGATAGAATATGAAGTGTTTTTTGCATTCTAATTTGTAATAACTACGTATCTTTTGTACTTGAGAATTTTAATTAGTTTACAACAACTTTGGCAGGATCCTGCACAGATCACATATTTGTATTAAATAGTCACATGTTACTGTGTATGTCATGGCACAGGTCATATCCGATTTTATTATGGTCATAGCAGACGTGAACATATATGTTTTTCACATGGGTCACATTACACCCACACAGTAAAACATTACAAGTCACATATTCATATGATCAAAGAATAGGTCACATGATGATACTATAATGTTCAAAACACGGGTCACATATATTTTCTCACATTGGACACACTATATCCACATATCAAATCCGCACAAGTCATTGATTCATATTAAATAGTCATAGACTACACTAAATTGTCAAAGCAGAGGTCACAGATGATTGTATAGTGGTCACAAGTCAGGTCACGGACAATCTTTAAAATGTGACTCATTATATCCACGTCAAAGCAGTGTAAGGTTACATACTTCAGGTGACAAACTATTGGAAATTGGTCACACATTAGTACATGAGAGGTCACAGAATACAGTTCGAATTCCATCTATCACATTTTAGTGAAACTTGATGTCTATTTGTCACAATTGCTTACATTCCAAATGTGTGCCAATTGATAGAATATAATAACTCCAAAAATCCAATTGTCAGCACATAATCTGAAGTTTTCACTGGTACTACTTGAATCAATATATATATGTCCAAATTACATTTTATATCAGATATAACTGCAAAGAATAATGAAAAAATAGGCAGATCATGGCATTATGGTCAATGTGTAGCATCAGTTGCCTTT